ATACTTCAGTTAGTTTGTGGATATTGTGAAGGGTGATGCTTCTCTGATTTCTTCCTCATTGCATTTATTGTCTATATATAATAGAGCTACTGTTTTTTTTGTTTTTGTTTTTGTTTTTCGAGACAAGGTTTCTGTGTATTGCTTTGGAGCCTGTCTTGGAACTCACTCTGTAGACCAGGCTGGCCTGGAACTCACAGAGATCCACCAGCCTCTGCCTCCAGAGTACTGGGATTAAAGGTGTGCTCCCCCAATGCCCAGCTAAAGCTACTGATTTTTTTTTTTGAATTAATCTTGTATCCTGCCACTTTGCTGAAGGTGTTTATCAGCTGTAGGAGTTGCCTAGTAGAGTTTTTTGGGTCACTTATGTAGACTATCATATCATCTGCAAACAGTGAAAGTTTGACTTCTTCCTTTCCAATTTGTATCCCTTTGATCTCCTTTTCTTGTCTTATTGCTCTAGCTAGAACTTCAAGTACAATGTTGAAGAGATATGGAGAGAGTGGACAGCCTTGTCTTGTTCCAGATTTTAGAGGAATAACTTTGAGTTTCTCTCCATTTATTTTGATGTTGGCTGTTGGTTTGCTGTTTATTGCTTTTATTATGTTTAGATTTGTTCCTGTTATCCCTGATCTCTCCAAGACCTTTATTATGAAGAGATGTTGGATTTTGTCAAAGGCTTTTTCAGTATTTAGTGCGATGATCATGTGGTTTTTCTTTTTCACTTTCTTTATACGGTGGATTGCATTAATGGATTTTCCTATGTTGAACCATCCTTGCATCCCTGGGATGAAGCTTACTTGGTCATGGTGGATAATTTTTCGGATATATTCTTGGATTCGATTTGTCAGTATTTTGTTGAGTATTTTTACATCAATGTTCATGAGTGATATTGGTCTGTAGTTCTCTTTCTTAGTTGTGTCTTTGTGTGGTTTGGGTACCAAGGTAATTGTAGCCTCGTAAAAAGAGTTTGGCAATGTCCCTTCTGCTTCTATTGTGTGAAACAATTTGAGGAGTACTGGTATTAGCTCTTCTTTGAATTTCTGGTAGAATTCTACACTGAAACCATCTGGCCCGGGGCTTTTTTTCTTTTTTCTTTCTTTTTTTTTTTTTTTTGTTGGGAGACTTTTGATGACTGCTTCTATTTCATTAGGGGTTATAGGTCTATTTAAATTGTTTACCTGTTCTTCATTTAATTTGAAGTGATATCTATCCAGAAAACTATCCATTTCCTTTAGATTTTCAAATTTTGTGGAGTACAGGTTTTCAAAGTATGCCCTGATGATTCTCTGGATTTCCTCAGTGTGGGAAGGGATCTCTTAAAGAGATAGTGTCCCCAAGTAGAGGTGGATTGTGTTGTAAATTTGCTACAAACCACTGAATAAAAAAATGGATACTTTTATGAAAGTTTCATCTCAATTCGTTGAAAGTAATCATTTGAGTAGCAGGGTGGTGGTGCTGTATGCCTTTAATCCAGAAGGCAGAGAAAGGTAGATCTTTGGATTTGACGCCAGTCTGGTCGACAGAGCAAGTTCTAGGACAGCCAAGGCTACAGAGAGAAACCCTGTCTTGATAAAAACAAACAAACAAATAAACAAAAATGTAATAATTTGCTCTGGCAAGGACGTGGGCAGAAGCACAGTAAGCAAGGTGGCCTGGAAGCTCCCAGGCGGTGAGTGGAGAGAGGTGATACCGGTGCCACCTTAGGCTGCACAAACATGAGAAAGAATTGTTTTGTTTTTGTCCTGAGGCAGGGTCTCTCAACACAGCCCCAGCTGTTCTGGACTCAATGTGTAGACCAGGCTGGCCTTGAGCTCAGAGTTCCTCCTTCCTCTGCCTCCTGACTGCTGGGGTTAAAGGTGTGCGCCACCATCACCGGCCTAATTTTCCCTTTTTATTGTATGTTTGGGGAGGCACCGTGCATGTGAATTAAGTTGAGACCAGAGGCCCGCAGAGGGTGTGGAGTTACAAGCAGTTGTGCACCGCCTGACCACTGATCCAGCTCTCCAGCGCCTCTGTTTTCTTTTAAAGACAGTGTCTTCTAGGTCAGACTGTCTTCCTGCCTACGCCTCTGAACTGCAATGATGGCAGGCTTGTGTTAGTGTGCCTATATAGGAAGAGGGCTCAGCCGGCAAGAGCACTGGCTGCTCTTGCAGATGGAGGTTCAGTTCCCAGGATCCACGTATTCGTTCACAACCATCTGCAAACCGACGCCCTCGCCCTCTTCTGGTCTCCACAGGTGTCTGGCATTCACAAATGTACATGTGGCAAGACTCGCGTGCACATAAAATAAATAAATATTGTATTATCTGTCTAGTAAACCTTCAAACCCGCTAATAGGCTCCGCCCCCTCCCCGACCATCCCACCTGTGCTCCCTGCCCAACTAGACTCCACCTCTGGGTCCCAGCACCTGAAGTCCCGCGGGCTCTGACTCGCAAGACCCCCTTCTCTGGCCCCTCACCGTGGCCCCTCATCCCTGCCTGCGGCAGCTAGGCCCCGCCCCACTCGGGA